AGTTCCTTTAAATTGTGAACTCGAGATAATTTTAAGGCTTGTTTTCCTGATTTTGACCATCTGAGAGATTAATTAGAAAAATGGGAATATGAAAGTGTTAGGAACTACTAAGAATTAATGATCCAAAAAGAATTAAGATAAAATGTTTTCTAAAAATCAGGATAATAAATAGGAAAATTTGACCTGAGTTAAAAAGTTCAATTTATGCTCAAGTTTTCCAGCTATACATTGGTGAAGTGAAGATTGTCTATGATAAAACTTGTTCTTTCTACACATAGTAGACATGGTAAGGTTCTTTGTGGGTTATTTTTTCTGTTTTTTTTTTTAAATTCCTTTTTTTCTCTTTCCTTTCCAAAATTGAAGTATGATCTTTAGTTTTTGTATTAACTTACTTCAAAATATTTCAAACTGAATATATCTTTTAGTAAATTTTTTTTTTCATTGTTCGAAAGGTCATCCAAACATTTAGTAGAAGAGTTGATATAATTCGTCCCAAGAGAACGCCACTAATCCAAAAATGTGGTGGAAAATGGAGACTATCCAAACACCTATTCTTAGTCTTTTCATGTAAAATTTTGATCTTATCCAACTATTGTCTAAGTGTTTTTCATGAATTTAAATTGTCTTCTCTCCACAGAATCAAGTGACGGATACTAATAGGAAACTACAACATGAGGGAAAGGAAGTAAGGCCAGTTTACCTTTCGAAAAAATCTTTTCTGTTTCCTGTCACTCTTCTTTGATAACTGTGTTCTTAATTTAGTGGCTTGTGAGACCAGAAGCAGCATGTTGGAGGAACTTGGATATCATTGTTGCTTCTGCTGATGGTTATCTAAAGTAAATGAATGCAGCCACTAGAAAGCTTATGACAGTGTGTAGCCTTTCTTAGCTGTGTTTTTATATCACTTAGGAGTCATAATATGGCCAATGCTGTTTCCTCTGCCTGGAATGTTCTTTCCCCAGTGTTCACCTACTCCTGACCTTTGCTCATATTTTACCTCCTTAATGAGGCCTTTTCTAACCAACTTATTTAGAATTACAGTCTGACTTTAACCCCTGTATTCGTTTTACTTTTCTTGCTTTATTTTTCTCCATTTCACCTGTCATGCTCTGATAGTATATAGTTTTCCTTATATATTTCCTTATATAGTATTCCTTATATATATACATATATATTTCCTTATATATTTGTCTTTCTCCTTCCAGTGGAAATTAAGCTCCATTAGGTCGGAATTTTTTTTTCTTAACTCATTGCCATATCCCCTCTACCTGCCTAAATAGTGACTGATACAACATGAGTGCTTCTGTAAATATTTGTTTAAAAGAATGAATCACTGATTCTATTAATTGATATACTCACCATTTAAATCATCATAGTTTATAAGATTATTGTATGTCCGTTTTCTCACTTAATCCTTATGATAGACTTATGACAAAGTAATGAAAGATAATATTATTATTTTATTGATTAGGAAACTAAAATGCATGACTTGCTGAAGTTTATATAGTAACTGGCAAGGCTGGGACTAAAATTCAAGTTTTCTGACCTATAGTCTGTTACTGTTCTCTGTATCATGTACCTTCCTTATTGCATAATACTTATTTAATGTTAAATTTTAATAAGTTTTAACAATAGCTTTTGAATCTTTTATCAGTAACTTAATCAAGACCAGTCTCTTTTGTTCTTTTTTGCACAGTGTCTAAGTAGATATCATTTTTAAGTATGAGTATGGGGTGAATACTGTAAGAGGCTATGTAGTTTAGGTTATTGTTTTTTAAAAGTTTGTCTCACATATTTTAAATTTTTGCCAAGAGTGCAGTTTCTTCTAGTTATATTGTGGTATGACTTCAGATGGAAGTCTTTAAAACAACTTTAGGAAGAAAAGTGAATTATTCTTCACTAAACTTGAACTTTTGGAAAAGCCACAACTTCTAAGTATGTGGTTTATTTGTTGAAATAGAGATTTAGTTGAAGATTATTTTTAAGACTCATTTGAAGCTGTGGAGGAAGGTCTGTTTTCCTCTAGGAGTCTAGCACTGGTGAGAGAAACATAGGATCTTCTCAGAAGGCTGATGAAATCATAAATCATGAAGAATCTGAATAGGATTTGGAGCAAATGTGCAAGTTTTTTCTTTTCTTCTGGATAGCCTCTGAATTTTAAGATTTTATTTGAGCTAGCCTTTCCTAGTGTAGTATGTATGCATCTTGGGGAGAAAGAGAGAAACCATGCAGGGATGTTTTACTGGTTGAGAAAGGCAGTTCCTTAGTCCACTTGGCAGGTCTTGCTATGAAACTGTCTGGGATTTTCTGATGAATTGAACATAGGGTGGAAAAATGTGACTGAAAGCTTTTTATTTACAGCTATTGGCTTAATTCAGTTTTTTTTCCCTCTTGCCAAGCTGGTAATAGCAATGGAAGAGCTGAAGCAGTGTCGACTACAACAGAGAAATATTTCTGCCACTGTTGATAAATTAATGCTGTGTCTTCCAGGTGAGGAACTGGAAATAGAGTAGGATTCTTGATGCAATTCCTTTAGCTTTAATTAGTCTTTCACTTTCTCTAAATAATGCTTTGTGTGCTCTTTCCCCACTTCTCTTTCAAGTCCTGGAGATGTATAGCAAACTGAGGGACCAGATGAAAACTAAAAGGTAAGATTTTTTTTTTTATTGAATACTTTTTATTGTCTAAAATTTCTATTATTTAGAATTTTTAGAAGTCCATATTTAGGGGAAGGGTATAGCTCAGTGGTAGAGTGTGTGCTTAGCGTGCATGAAGTCCTCGGTTCAATCCCCAATACCTCCATTAAAATAAATAAACCTAATTCCCAACCCCCCAATTAAAAAAAAAAAAGCAAAGACAAAAAATTTTTTTTGAAGTCCGTATTTACTATAACCTTGCAAAAAATAATTAAATACGTATAACATCTTCTCTAGCTTTTGTATTTCTATTGACTCATCCCCAGACTTACTTACATTTACTAGTGGTATGCTGATATATTTTGTTATGTACTGTGTTTAATAAAAAGCACTGTACATAGTTTGATTTTCAGAAGACCCAGCCTTTTGGAGGAAAAGCTTATAATTGTTATAGTGATAGTTAATTTGAAAAATGTGCTTTGGTTTAGTATTGTAATAGAAAAAATAGTTACTGATTTTGGTGCAGGGGTGAATCAGTCTGAGTTCTCTCCATTGAAACAGAACCAATAGGGTATATGTGTGTGTGTGTGTGTGTGTGTGTGTGAGAGAGAGAGACAGAGACAGAGACAGAGACAAGAGAGACACAGAGAGATAACGATTTATTTTAGGGAATTGGTTCACATAATTATGGAGGCTGGTAAGTCCAAAATCTGTAGCATAGGCTTGAAGGCTAGTGTCAGGGAAGATACTGTTGCCTGAGTCTGAAGGCAGTCTGTTGGCAGAATTCCCTCTTCCTCTGGGGAGGCTGGCATTTTTTCTATCAAGGCCTCCAACTGATTGAATGAAGCCCATCTATGTTAGGGAGAATATTCTTTACTCAAAGTCTACTGATTTAAGTGCTGATAACCTTATGTGAAAAATACTTTCACAGAAATATACAGAATAATATTTCACCAGTTCTCTGGGTACCATGGCCTAACCAAATTGACACATAAAATTAACCATAACCAGGGGCAAGGTCAAGGTTTAAGTCAGAGGATTCCTCGCCTGTGTTATTTTCATCTGGTTTTATTCTAGAGGAAACTTTATTGTGGCTCTTTGGTTCTTCTTCCCAAACCAGAGTAAATGTCCCCACCCTCTCTGCCCTTGCATATCTTGCAATGTGATGGGGGTATGTGAAGCTATGGGGTAAACGACATATCTTCCTGGAATGTTAGTTTTACTTAGTTTTGAGGTAGAAAGTATGGAATTAAAATGTATATAGTACTAAAATAAGAATAAAAGTACTATGCATAAAAATTCTAAGTTTTCAAGAATTTTAAAGCTAAACCATGAAGCATCAAAATTTTTTGAATTTCTTAGGATTATTTCCCAGACTGCCTTCTCCCCAGGAGGACAAATTCATGTAAGAGAACATAGGTTGAACAACAGGAGAAATTCTATTCAGTAAGATATGAAAGTAATATTATTTCCCTGATAACCTTTTTTTGAAGTGCTAAAATTACAGGAAATTACAGAGAATGAAAGAAATTTCTGTATTACCTTCTCTGAATTAACAGATAGTAATAATTTTCCAGTTTTGATTCATAATAGATATGTAAATATGTATTATATGGCATATATATAAACATATATATGGACAGAGGGAAGTAAAGATGTACATTTTAAAAAAATTACAAATAAGACTCATAGCCCTTTCCTCAATTCTATTCCTTTCCCTACTCCCTAAGGAAACCAGTGTCATAAATTTGGTGAATGTACTTCTAGCTCATGTTTTTAATATCCATAAATCATATATTGTAGTTTGTGTTTTTAAAAACATTTACATGAATAGTTCCCAGTCTTTGTTCATTCATTCAGCAAAAATGAATTGAGTACCAGTATATTGCTAGGCATAGCTTTTAGTGCTGGGAATATAGCTCTAAACAAAATAGACACAAATATCTGTTCTCATGGGGCGTCTGTACTAGTGGAGAACTTTTTAAATTTATGTTTAGAGATCTAGTTCACTTATTTTAATTACTCCATAGAAGTCTATTATGTGAATAATCCACATTTCTCCTCTTAATTCCAGTGGTTGTCGGAAAGTGCTGTTCACCAGCATTCTAGCTCAGCCTTCTTCTGGTGTATGGTAGGATTATGTTTCCTGGACTTCTTTGGGCTGTATCAGCACCGTACACTGGAGTTGCCCTCATGTATTGTATTCTCTTTATTCCACTTGGGCTCTAATAAGATGTCCTACCTGAATGCCCTCCTCATCCCTGTTTGGCTCCGATACTCCATGCCAGGCTGCCTTCCTGTACAAACATTCTTACCTCATTAGGTCCCTTGTGTCCCATGCTGGTCTGTCTTCCCCTCCGAGCCCACAAGTTGGATGCTCTCATTTATTTAGGTCTTCTTTAATTTTGTTCACAATATTTGTGGTTTCAGTGAACAGGTTGTATATATCTTTTGTCATGTTACCTCTAAATATTTCATATTTTTGATGCTTACTTTAAATGGTATTAATTTTTAAATTTCAATTTTCAGTCATTTTTTACTAGTATGCTATTAATATTTTAATATTTATCTTGTATTCTTCAACCTTACTAAGTTACTTAGTAAATTCTAGTAGCTTTTTTGTATATTCCATTGGATTTTTCTATGTAGATGATTATCTGGTCTGCAAATAAAGATAGTTACATTTCTTTCCAATTGGGATGCTATCTTTTTGATTTGTTTTTCCTGTCTTATTAAACTGGTTAGATCCTTCAGTACAATATTGAATAGAAGTAGTGAGTGTGGATGTTCTTGCTCAGTTCTTGATCTTAGGAGGAAAGAATTTCACCATTGAGTAAAATGTGAGGTGTAATTTTTTGTACATGTCATTTATAAGATTGAAGAAATTCACTTCTATTTCTAGTTGTTGCAAATTTCTATCAAGAAAGAATACTATTTTTGTCAAGTGCCTTTCCTGTGTCAGTTGAGACAATCATATGGCTTTAAATTTTTTTTAGTTTATTAATATGATGAATTTATTGATTAATTATTGAATGTTAAACCGAACTTACATTCATGGAATAAATCCCACCTGGTCATGGTATATTACCCTTTTAAATATGAGGTGGTATTTGATTCACTAAAATTTTATTGAGGATTTTTATATCTGTGTTCATGAGGAAAGCATATCTGTAGTTTTCTTTTTTGTAATGTCTTTGGCTGATTTTGGTATCAGATTAATGCTGGCTTGGTTTTCTGGAAAAATTTGTGTAGTGTTGGCATTATCTTTCTTAAATATTTGGTAGAATCCACCAGTGAAGTCACTTGGACCAGGGGATTTATTTGTTTTTGGTGAGAAGGTTGTTAACTACAGATTTAATTTAAGAAAGAAATACAAGGCTGTTTGCATTTTCTGTTTCTTGAATAAATTTTACTTATTTGTGTCTTTGAAGTAATTTGTCCATGTCATCCAAGTTGCTGAATTTATTAACAAAAATTATTCACAGCATTCCCTTATTATTTTAACATGTGTGTAGAATATAGTGATACTTTCTCTTTCATTGTTTATGTTGATAATTTCTGTCTTTGTCTCCCTTTGTTTCTGTCTCTGTCTCTCTGATTATTTTGGCTAGAGGTTTATCCTTTTTATTCATTTTTCTGAAAAACATTTTTAGATTTTATTGAGTTTTCCCCTTATTTTTCTGTTTTACTGATTTATTATCTTTAGTATTTTCTTTCTTCTGTTTACTTGGGGTTTAATTTGCTCTTGTTTAGCTTTGTTAGGTGGAAACTTAGGGCACTGAGTTTGGTTCTATTTTCTAATGTTGACATTTAAATCTGTACATTTCTCTCTAACCAGTGCTTTAACTGTATCTTAATGTGCTTTATGATGTTGTGGGGTTTTTTTTTTTTTTACATTTTATTAAAATGTTTTCTAATTTCTGTTGTGATTGTAAAAATTTATTTCACTGATTATTTGGAAATGAATTGATTAATTTTCAAATATTAGGGGATTTTCCAGATTTTTCAAAATTGATTTGTAATTTTAGTTCATTTTGTTCATAACTGTAAAATGAATGATTTCAGCCTTTTGTGTTTGTTGAGACTTGTTTTATGGCTCAGCTGGTGGTCTGTTTTGGTGAAAATGACATGTATACTTCACGGTGTAAATTTTGTTACTGAGGAGAGCATTCTTTAACTGTCACTTAGGTACACTTGGTTGAGAGTGTTGTTCAGGTTTCTACCTCCTGATGATTTTGCATTTGTCATTTGCTGACAGAGGAGTGTTGAAATTGCCTATTGTGATTGTGGGTTTGCACATGTCTTTCTTTTCTTTTAGTTCTTGCACATTTAGCATTGTTATATCTTCTTGATGAAATGACCCATTTATTATGGAAGGTTCTTCTTTGTCCCTGGTAATATTCTTTTTTCTGAAACATATGTTGTTCGGTATTAATACAGCCAGCCACTGCTGCTTTATTTTTGTTTAAATTTTACATTGTCTATTTTTTAATATCCTTTTTTAAAAAAACATTTCTAATGGTTCATTGAGATATAGTTCACATACTATTCACTTTGTCCATTTAAAATGTAGAATTCAGTGGCTTTTAGTGTATTCAGACTTGTGTGACCATCACCACAATCAATTTTAGAATGTTTTTATTCTTCCCAAAAGAAGCCTCTTGGCCACCACTTCCCAGTTTTCTCTTTTTCCTTGCCCTTGTTGCCGGCTACTGGGAACCAGTGATTTACTTTATATTTCCAAAGATTTGCCTACTCTGGACATTTCATATAAATGGAATCTTATAATATGTGGTTCTTTGTGATTAGCTTCATTTAAAATAATGTTTTTAAGGTTAATCTATGCTGTACCATATATCAGTACTTCATTTCTTTTTATTGCTAAATATTCTGTTGTGTGGATATACCACATTTTATTTATCCATTCATCAGTTGATAAACATTTGGGCTGTTTACAGTTTTTGGCTTTTATGAATTATGCTGCTAAGATTTTTTTGTTTACAAGTTTTTGT